AGAAGGTCAACAACGGGGTATGTATTTTTTGTTGGAATGGGAGCAATTTCATGGAATTGCAAGAGACAACCAACAATTGCAAGGTCAACAATGGAAGCGGAGTATATGGCAGCAAGCCATCGTGCAATGGAGGCAATATGGTTAAGACAACTTTTGGAGGACATTGGAGATGTGCAAATGGAAGCAACTCCAATAAAGTGTGACAATCAAGGATGTCTTGCATTTACAAAGAATCCAAAGCATCATTCAAGGATCAAGCACATTGACATTCAACATCACTTTATAAGAGAGAAGATTGAAATGAGAGTGATTGATATGAAGTATTGTGCAACGGAGGACATGCTTACTGATTTGTTGACAAAGGCATTAGTAAAGGATAGACACCACATGTTGACAAAGGCATTAGGCTTAAAAAGCATTTGACCAATAACAAAGTAGGAGTGTTAAAATAAAAGTAGAAAATATTACTTTGTATAGGATATTATCTTAGGTAAGTTACTAGTGGTCAAAGGTTTGACTCTTAGTATTTGGTAAGGGCATCCAATGGATATAGGACGAAGTCATGGACCAAGAGTCAAAGTCAAAAGGATAAAGTATTAACAAGGGAATATCCAAAGACTAAGTATGAGTCATTAGTGTGTGTCATATGATACCCTTGTAGTTCGTGAGATGCCAAAGGATCCTAAGAGCATGTGTGTAAGAGGTAAGAGTAATTAGTATTGGATATAGGATACTCTTGAGACTCGTGAGATGTCAAAAAGATCCTAGGGCCATGTCTGTAAAAGTCAAAGAGTGGACATTGTCTTTTAGGGTAGCAACTACCACCTATAAGTAATGGGTGTTGGAAGTGAGAGATATCTTACTCCATACTCTCTTTGTGTGCAACCTTGCTGATGCTAAGTGTTGTGTCTTCTAAGTACTTGTTTTCTTAATACTTTTATTATATATTGAAATTTTTTTTAAGAACAAAAAGACTTAAATTAACATTTAAATCTAATGTAAGGATTATAAAGATTTTTTTAGAACAAAAATATGGATATTCTTTCAAAGCACCCTCATAATAATTACTCAAAAGATCTCAAAGAAAGAACTCAATTGTAATTTAAATTAATTTAGATATTATAAAAAAATAAGTTTTCTAAATTTAAGAAATAAAAAAATAAAAAATTAGCTAAAAATATCATATTCTATTTAAATTTCTAATAAAAGATCTTATCTTATTTATAAAAAAATAAGATGGATCATTTCAAATGTATATAGATTATTGAAAGCTCAATAAAATTATAATAAAGAATATGTATTCTTTATATTTATTATTATGACTTTTTAATTAATGGAATGAAGTCAAGATCTATATAAAAATAGATCTACAAAATTTTTATAATCTAATATGTACTGTAAAATAAATAAATAGAAGATTTTATTTTCAATTAAATATGGATATTTTGAATATAATGACATGATTTTTGAACAAACAAACACACTAACTACTTTTCAACATCTAATCATTTTTATTTTTTAAAAAAAATTAGATGATTTTGTTACATTTTATTTTAATAATATTTTAATCTATTTTAAAAATACAAAAAAATATGAATTTCATATTTTTCACAAGTTATAAAAACTTAGAAATAGAAGATTATACTCCAAGATAAAAAAGTGTGTATCTCACAAAATTTATTTTTACTTACTTCTACTTAATCATATAGGTAAATATTAGAATAAGTATATATATATCCATGACACTAAATGAGATTTGTTTAAGCATTAATTATGAGTGATTTGGATTGATAATAGCTTTATGAAGCTTTATAAAGATAATGTTGATTTTAGTGATTTGAAATTTCATGAAATATAAGAAGAATTTACTTTTTGTAAAATTTTGTAAGTATTTTTACAAATCATTAAGTAAAAATTTATAAGATTATAAATATAATTGTTATCAATATATTTTATGAATTTTAAATTAATCAAATGGTGATATCAAAGGTTTTTGGAATCCAATTAAATTAGAGTATTGAAATCAAAAATATACTTAATCATTTTTTGAAGTGAATAGTACAATAATGATCTATTGTTGCTGATAGAATGACATTAATGTTAGAAAAGAATCCCAACCAACATCAAAGTAGATTAGAAGCTATTTATTTGAATTTGTAAGTTTTATTTTTTAAAATTTTTATGTTCTTATTATTAATTAATATATTAAAATACATAAAAATTTTAAAGTCAAATAAATGATTTAATTAATAATTATTGACCTTATTAAACTAATATAGGATTTGATTAAGATTTATTTAGGAATTAATTAAGATTTTTAAAAACTTACTTATGATTTGGTGAGAGTTTCTTTAAAATATAATCAAGGCATCTTTGGGATTTTTTAGGATTTTTTAATGTTTTCTTTAAGGTTTTGGCAAAGCTTTGATTATAATTATAAAGGTTTCATTGTAGTTTATTTAGGATTTTCTTAGAATTGTTAAGTTATATGTTAGTTAAAAAATAAAAATTTATTTGCCATAGTCAAGTATTTAGTACATTTTCAAATAAGATATCATATAATAAGACACCATATTAGTACATAATAGTGGATTAGATATTAAGTTTCATATAGATATACTATGTATAAAATAAAACTTGTTCTACAATTTTTTTTAAATTAACAAAACTTAGTATAAGTAATATATAACTTGATGCTTGTGCTATAAGACTTCTTTTGTCTAGAAAGCTTCTACAAGACCTTCTTGGTAGATAATATATATAGAAGAAAGACCAAAACCATCTTTAATCTTGTTATTATTATTTTTTTTTATTTTTTTTTTATTTTGATATAAGACTCTATTTTTTAATTTTTTAATTTTTTAATTTTTTAATTTTAATTCACAGTTATCATTCTAGTTCTTTAAGTATCTTGAATTTATCTTTCTTTTAGTTATTTTCTTTCTTTTAATAACATAATTATATATTATCTTTTCAAATTTTTTTCTAAATTTAATTCCTTGATAATCTAGAAAAAAATAAAAATCTGTTTATATACACATATGGCATTAAAAAAAAAATTGTTTTATTCTCTTTTAAACCAAGGATTTTAATGATAAAAACCATTAATATTTATTTAAACTTTTAATTCTAAGAATAAAAGTCTTATTATAGTGTAAATTTGGACCAAACCTAAACAATTCCATGGTTCAAAATAACATCATTTGTTTGATTAGTTTGATTATTTTTTATTCTATTGATTTATTAGTTGTTTTAAGAATTTTTATCTTATAGACATGACAAATTTGTGTTTTTGTTTTTTTACTATTGCAAAGCCACCTACATCTATTTTTGGTGTAAGAAGTAGAAATTTATAGATATTATTTTTAGCACTAGTTTTGAGATTTGTTTTTCTAATATGTTGGATATTCCTTCTTTTTTTTTTTTTTTTTACACTTTTTTTTTAATATTGTGACTTGTATCAATATAATACTTAAATCTTATAAAAAAATAGATACAATCTATTAAATAAATAAATAATTAATTATTTTCTTGTGATAATAAGATTTATTACGCTAGAAGAGAGATTTTATCATATCTTTAGATTTCAGGAAATACATAAATAAGAGTCTTGGTTGATAATATTGGTGTCATCTTTATCTAATGTTATACTTAATATTTTAGCTATTATTCTACTTACAACTTTAGATTTATTTATAAATTTTAAATAAACAACCAAAGTATGAATTAATTCTTGGATATATGATAGATGAAATGGAAATGGATCAAAATTAAGAATTTACTCTTATGTTGTATAGATCTAATTATAGACATTATACAAACTATGTGGTTTTAATTTCTTAGATATCTTTAGATTTTTTATTTTAATTATAAAATAAATCTTTTTTATTATAAAGTATATTTTTAATGAATAACCCATTTTGGATTGAAATTTTAAAACTATTGTTCAGAAATAATTTTTTTTTAAATTATAAAATAACTCTTTTTGATTATAAAGTATATTTTTAATGTATAACCAACTTTGGATTGAAATTTTAAAAACTATTGTTTTGAAATAAGATTTTTTTCTTGTCACTCTAAAAACCTAGTCATGATTGTAAATTATTTAAGATAATTTATTTCTTACTTAATAACCTATTCATCAATTTGCAAATGCAATTATGGGTATGTAATAATGGACCACCATTTTAAAAACATTGTTAGTAGAGTTTTAAATAGTATTGTGTTAAAGGGGTCTAAGTTCAAGTTGTCTTGATATTATAATTTTTTATTGGCACTCTAATTTATTAAAACCATGTCTGTCATTTTTGCATCCACCTTTATACTTGAAGTATTGCCAAGCTAAAAATTGCATAAGGTGTTATTATATTGTCGTATGGTGCTAAAAGATGTGAAGTGTGATTGTTAGTATCAGCAATCTACTTATCAAAGTATTTAGAATCGTTATGCATCTAATTACATACAAAGTGTTGCTAAGAAAAATCTAACTTTCCAAATCCTAATACTACTATTAAATCCCTCCTATGATGAATCATTATCTTTCATTTGATTGATGTCTATGCTTCTAAAAAATTACTAATGGTTTCAATACGTACTTACTTGACTAGCTGCTTACATTTCAGTATGGTTTTTGCTGAGCAATGACGTTACAAGAATAGATTAAAAAATCCTAATTTATGACAGTTGGAGGGGTGTTAGGGTTTTATCTCTTATCCACTAGTAGCCCCTGGTAGGAACAGTTGTTCTACTCCAGATTGTTATCATGAGTGCAACGTCTATACTACACTGAGCTTGCCTTAAGTAGTTTATCTGGATTTGTGACAAATTTGTTTTGCATAATCAATTGGAACCATGTAGTAACAGTTCCTCCTATTGGACAGTATTGTACTCGCTTGGTAACAATATTCCTAGTTGAGGACAGACTGTTTGCGAAAATTTCTTCCCAAGTGTTCCAAAACATAAACAATAAGAGGTACATTCATTCCATGTCTTCCACTAAGTCCCGCTTTGGCCATTTGGCTTACTTCATAAAAAATTGGCGAAGTTTCCGTGGGAATTTTCTCCATCTTTTCGTGGATAAACATCGAGCTCAACGGAGTCAGGGTGTTGTGTGATTGACATAGGCGGAAATGTACCAGCAGACACCACCGCTGCTCATTGACTCCGACTCCATGTCACGAGACAACACTATGCTAAACTAGGATTCAATGTTTCAAGCATCTCAGTCTCTAAAACACACCAGAATGTGCGCACAACTCCCTCTGCAATTGTATATTTATATCATCCCTCTACCAAAGTTCAGGGAAATAAATCGCTTCGACTTACTATTGCCCTACTCATTTTTCCATACTTTCTTCCTACCACACCAATGCCGTGAGCAACTAGACTACCTTTTGCAACTTGTTCGAATATACTTTTCCTTTGCTGCTACGTCGCTTTCCAAAAAGTATCCACACACGTGACCATACCAAAAACTTAGGAACGCTTCTTCTGCGGAATCTTGGGGTTTTTGCACATTCGTATACTGAGTGGAGTAACCTCAACAAGCTCGTCCTCTTGAATATACTCCACACAGTCATCCAGGCTAAGCTCTACAGGGGACGCTAGTACCACTGCACGTAAGGAACAACACACCATGGTAATCAGTTGCCTTGTCGTTAGTCTGCCCAGTCATTATACATATACAACAAACAAAAGAGACACGACCTCACGCACTGCGATAAGATGCGGCACCGTTCACCCTACAGCTACACTTCGACATAATTCGTTCAGTACATGCGACAGCGCATCCAACCAAAAGGGGTCAGTTGGTCACCTGTAGCTTCTTTATTTGAGCGTACATTGGTTGCAGCCTTTCGTTTGCAGGCATTCAGTGACAAGTCCCCAGGTCTTTGGTGGATACCAATTATTTGGCCCTTGTAAATATCCACTCCTGGACCCAGAAAGAGGCTTCCTCGGTCTTGACAACTGAAAAGAGCGTAGGAAGTCGTAGTTCCCGTCTCAAAAGCCACCTGATATAACACAATTTGAAAGTTAAACACATAATTGCACTGCAACATATGAACTCTTATGCTCTTCTCAACCTAAAATGTGAACTACTTTCAAATGCGTTGTGCGACCAAAAGTATGGCCCGTGGAGAAATAGTCTTACCAAAGATCCTTGCTCACGGGTGCTTATCTCTCCTGCCCATTCGTCATACCCATAAAAGATGGTGTTTAGCAAGGCAGTGCCCCTGGAGGCAGTAAGCATAGCGTTCCGTAGTCCAAGCAATCCTCGGGTCGGCATCCTGTATTTCACCACTGTGGTGTTCTCCGACCTACAGATCCGCGCATTGCCAATAGACTGTTAGTGGATTGCTGCAAACCTTGTTCGCTTACACAGTCAAGGGATAAATCGTACAACCGATTCATGAGATAAGAGCTCACCAACATAACTTTTCACGTCGAGATAAACTTGGCGACAAGAGCATGACGGAAATATCACAAGACTACCATCTACTGCTACGTGTTAGACAAAGGAGAAAGAAGGGTTTCGTTAAAGTATTTTCGCCACAAAATACTGCATAAAAAACAACGTTCATCATACCCGGAAGTTGACATATCCAACATTTGACCCCGACGCTTGCCCAGTAGGTCGACCACCGCCCCCACGTACTCTTCAGGAACCTCAACAATAGCATCCTGCAGAAGTCCACTTTCAGGAAATTACTTGTACATGAGGGTGCTAGCAGAGCTAGAGATGCAGAGAAAGCGAGAGAGCGAGAGAGCGAGAAATTCGCGCAAACATGCACTTCAAATGATGACATCACTCTTATAGAAGAACTCCTCGGCATACAAATATTACGACGTAGTATCCAGTAACCGTGAAGAACCCACCGAGAAAAGAATTGAGGACGGTCAGTATTCATCATTCTAGCAGCATGAAACCACTGTCTTTACCTCGTAGGGCTCAAGCTTTTTTCCTTTGACCTCCCGGTTGATAACTTTCGGTGGTCCAATTAAGAACTCATAACCCTCTCTCCTCCTGCCAGACAACAAGGACCACAATACGTTTCAGCCGCTACAGATGTGAGAAAGAAGAGCAAGGTTGCAGCTGTAAGGAACAAGTAAGAGAACATCTGAAGAAAATTTCATTCCTATTGGAACGAACATTAATGAAAAAAACAAGACGGGTTTCCGACTTACATGTTCTCAATAAGGATTGTGAGATGCAGCGTGCCACGACCACTGACGATAAAAGTGTCGGCAGTTTGTCCATCTTCTACCTTCATGGCCAAGTTCCTCTCTAACTCTCGGTACAGCCGATCCCTCAAATTCCTACTTGTCACATACTTACCCTGCAAACATTCAAATCATTCACCAATTCGCATTGCGATTACGAGCCTTGAGGAGACCGAACTCAACAGCGAACTTATTCCAGACAGAGGAAGGCAAAAAGGACATATGAGATGAGTTTCAGAAAAACACATAAGGCTCATTACCTCTCGTCCAGCAAAAGGCGACGTGTTGACAGAAAAGGACATTCTCACAGTAGGCTCCTCCACAGTGATGGTCGGCAGTGGTACGCCATCTATTTTGTCAGCTAATGTTTCTCCAATCTGTACACAGTGTAATCGATACATTGTGAATATCTATTGGAGTTTTCAAACGAAATTGAACTACTATTCGAACATGTGTCACAGTGCATGCCTGTGCAAAAGTTTCTTCAAATCGGAGACTACAAGAGGAGGAAGACAAAACCGTAGATCTCAACGACTTTATTTGTACCAAGCCCCATCCACTGGCGTGCACGAACCATGCGGGCGAATACTGGATAGGTTATCCTCCACTCAGTAAACCATCTAGTGCACGCTATATATGATTTGCGCACGCTATAGTGGAATGGGCATGGGGGCAATCACATTTGTAGATCTGCACAATCATAACAAGATCTAAACCCTGATACAAGTCAGAAAACTAAAAAGGAAGAAAACCAGAGTGAGATTTTCAGTCGGAAGCAAGTCAGAAGCAGTACCAAGACATCGTCAATTCCCGAGAGACAACATATATCTCCAGCCTCAACCACATCAGCAGGGACCCGAGCAAAATTGTCATATTCAAAGAGCTCATTGATTTTGGCGTTCCTGCAACGATCATCTGGGGTGCAGACCTGCATGTTTCACCATCCGTCCCTGGTCAGGTAGATACCATGGCGGTGTAGCCTGATCAAAAATAAAAAGCTCCCTTCAAAACTATGGAATTATCGATCACTGCTTGTGTCACAATTCATCTATAGTTTCCAAGCAGCAATTCCCACAACTAAACAGAACAACAACGGTTTTGTCAAATCAAAACGCAGGTATCAAATTCCTACATCTTTAAGATCATGCTCAAGGTTGAGGCGGAAAATAGAAAGAAACGAAAATTCAAACATATTCGATGTCTGCATTGCCAGATGGCACAAACCACTGAAAAGTACATACCTTCACTTCCATTCCTTTCATCACGCGCCCAGCATGAACGCGTCCAATAGCAATACGACCCTTGTGCTCGTCGTAATCTAAATTCGTTATCTTTTGCCAGTGGAAGTGGGAGAAGGAACAAAAAAATGTTAGCATACTTGAGCAAGGTTGGAGTGCCACGAGTCCCCTACTGAGTTCAGATCACTCTAAATGCATTTGTTATATTCGAAGATACACATCATCCGTACAAATTACTGCGATGTTCAAATGCATCATACGTTGACAATAAACTACCAACTTACTCTGTTTAGAAATTTATGCAAGAAATCAAAACATTCACGAGCAAACGGTCGAATCACATACGAGCATCTGAAGAGGACCTTCGATGTCAACCCTGGGCTCTGGAATACACCTGATCACTGCTTCAAACAGCGGTTCCAAGTCGTCAGCCAATTGATCTGGTTCTAAGCCTGCCTTCCCATGAATACCGCTGGCATACACGACCTGGAAGTCACACTGCAACGTCCACAACAAGTCCGTTAATTTAAAGATCGAATCCTCGCATAGCTCTGCGGATTAGGCTAGCTCTCGTCCTGCAGACTGAAAAAATCGAGACTTGTTAAACCCTGCAGTGATTAGCATAATTAACTTGGATTGAGGAGAACGGTACACACCTGCTCATCGGAGGCATCCAATTCCACAAAAAGCTCGAAGGTGGTGTTGACAACATAGTCAGGTCGCGCTGAAGGCCTGTCCACCTTATTCACAACCACAACTACGGTTTGCCCAAGCTCTAAGGCCTTCTTCAGCACAAATCTGGTCTGAGGCATTGGACCTTCTACTGAGTCGACCTGTTTTGCCAAGAAACAACGTCATCATCCCAGTCCACGCATGTCCGTCTACAGATCGTTCCATTCATTTAATCATCGGGACTGGAACATCAAGCAAGTTGCAAGCAATTGACCCACCAGCAAGAGCACGCCATCAACCATGTTGAGCACACGCTCCACCTCCCCTCCAAAGTCTGAATGTCCTGGTGTATCTATGATGTTAATTTTTGTCCCTTTATAACGAATAGCAGTGTTTTTGCTTAAGATGGTGATTCCTCTCTCGCGCTCCAAGTCGTTGGAATCCATAATGCGCTCTTGGACGGATTGATTGTCACGGAAAACCTTAAAAAATCCAGCACGGTCAGCAGTGAGCAAATAATCCAGCCAACCAGGAATGGAAGTCCAGTTCTAGCCTAGAAATAAGCGCCTCAAATTTAAAGTCTTCACATGCACAAAATTTCTACAGGCAGTAACTTGAGGCTAAACAAGCTGGTACCTTAGCTTGTCGAAGCATGGCATCCACCAATGTGGTCTTTCCATGATCGACGTGGGCGACAATAGCAATATTCCGAACGTCGGTTCGCACGCTAGTCTTGCTATCCCGCGCTAATACAACTCACACCCAATAAGTTGAGTCACGGGGACAATACAGCGGAAAAGTCAATTCGACGAAATTAATGAATTGGAGAATAAGATTCTAGAGCAAGAAGGTGCATAATCTGGGAATTACTGACAAAATTCGGAGCGGAAAGGAAATTGATAACAACGGTGGACGCAAAGGAGAAGCGAATGGAACATGGGAAGGAACGAGAAGATGCTCACCCTTAGAAGACTCCTCCATGGCAAGTGCGTTGCGTGCAGCTGCGGCAAATTTGGATTTACGGGCACGAGAGTGCAGAGCATCGCCGGGCAGCTCATGCCGGACCGAAATGAATGTCGGCAGTCGGAGAAACGCAGGAGCCTGGTCCGCGAAGGATTTGGCAGTACCGAACGAGTGCGCAGGAGAGTGGTCCCATTGCACTGCAGCAGCGCTGGCTGCGTGTGCAAAGGCGGCCATAGGGATCGAGAGAGGGAACAGTCTACAACGTGAATAAGGAGAATAAGCAGAGAGAGACACTAGAGGCTGCAAGAAGTCTCATCAAGAGGAAAGGCGCAATGACAAAAGCGTGAGAATAACCAACTGAGGGCCAAGGACGGGGACGAATTGACTGATTTAGATAGCAGGGAGCCAGTGAGCTTAGTGAAAGTCTCACCGATAACGGAAGCGTAGGCGAAAGCATCGTGGACCGTGAGGATGACGCCGACGTTGCAGCGTGTGGATGGATAGACGCGCGCGAAGTAGCAAACAATAAAAATGAAACGAACGAACGAACGAACGAGCGATCGAACGAACAGTAGGCTGCCTCGTCGTCTCGTCAAAGGGGGGTCGGAAATGCTTTGGGGCGGGAAAGCCGCTTTTCACAGAGCGTGGGGCTGGGAAGCAGCCAAGTCGGAGGACATCATCGTCGCGTCTCCCAGTTTGAGTGGGCACCAGCGCTCAGGCCTGGGCCTCCGTTTTCCATTGCTCAAATATAATCCTTCTTGCCATTATTATCACCCCTCTCCCGGCTTTCCCACTCCTGCTGGAACCCGAGGTTCGCAATGAGGGCTCCACCACCCCATTCTTTTGCCCTCCGTTCATTTTCTTCCACACTTTCGCATAGAGACAAAACTCATGCAAAGGGACATGTGAGAACTAAATCTAATCGAGCCCTGTAAAATTACAATCATACTTAAGACACATAAAATATTTTCCGTTATACTTGATAGGTAGTTTCGTATTATAAAATTTTAATAATTATTTTTCGAGAAATAAATTTTAAGTAAAATTTAATTAGTGTGATTTAGAGTAATTTTGTGATACATATATACTAAAATTTGTTTTACAAAAAAGATCGATGGTTGAACAATGTGAAATAAAGATACAAGATTTCTTTGAAACAAACATATTATTTTTAGAATATATACCAAATTCCAATTTGCTAAAGAAATACAAGATAGCAGGGTCTAAGTATAAACCTCTTTTTACAAGAGATTTTTTACTAAAATATTCCATGATAAGATTATCTTCATAAAATAATATTGAGAGAAAATTAAAATGTATTTAACAAAAAAATAATTCTAGAATTTAAAATACATCTACTTTATTTTTGAACTTTTTAAATTAAAAAATATTATTCTTCTGAAAAAATAACATGCACATATTTTTAAATTTTATACCATCTATTTTCTTAAAATTAATCTTAAAATTTAAAGTTTTAAAAGATAAATAGGAACCTTTTAAAGATATTTAGAACCTTTTAAAAATTTGTCAAAATTTTTACTATTTTAAAAATATTTAGTCACAACTACAACCTTCTAAATCTTCTATGATTATTGAAAAGTTTTTAAGATCCTTTCACAATCTTTTAACAACTTTTTATAGAAGAATTGTTGAACTTCTAGAATATTATACAACTCCTAAAATCTCATCTAAAACCTTCTACATAACATGTTTGTCATAGTATTTGTATATATATATATATATATATATGTACTCTGTGTAAAAGTAAATAAGACAACGAATATTTCAGTTTTACCAACAAAAGTTTGTATCAATTCAAATGACTATCTAATATATAAATCTATATATTTATTTTTTAAAAATAAAGAATAATTAAAAATAAAATTTAAAAACTAAAATAAAAATATTTTGGGGATTAATTAATGTCAATTACAAAGAAATAAGTAGTCTAAATAAAGAGTAATATACCATAAATATATTTAAAAATATTATTTTTTGCAATGACTTTTAATTATAAAATTTTCAAATAAAGTACTTAATATGTTATAATTTTTAATTTTATAATTAAATATAGAATAAGGATCTTTAAAAATATTATATTTTATATATTTATGCACTCTTCAAACTTTCTAGATATTTTTATAAGAAATAAAAATTCTTAATTTTCATCTAAAAAAATTATAAGAACTTTTTATATTCTTTTAAATAAAATATAAAAGATATTTTTTTTCTAATTACTAAAATATTCTATGAATTATTAGATATTTTTAGAAATTTCTATAAGACTATAGAATAGCTAAATAAACTTTGTGATAAGTTATTAGTTGGTTATTGACAACCTTGAGAATTAGACTGATGGCTAGGCATTTTAGCTGGTAACAGTAGGTTGTTAGTAGAATAAATGGTTAAGAATTCAAAGGGTCATAACTTTTGGAATCCGCTCGCCGACGGATCATCTTTAGGTAGGATAAATAGGTTGAGGAAAGAGAGATCGAAGCGACACTGAGAGTTGTAAGCCGAGAGCCAGACTGAGAGTCGTAAGCCGAGATAAGCTTGGTACTACCTCTTTGTTTTCTTTATTATTTGCTTATGAAGAATTGTGATTGAGAGAAGTATTACTCAATTGATAATCGTAGAATGGATTATGGATTGAATTATTATGGAAGTAGTAAGCCTCGATGTTTTGTAGTTTGATACTTGATTTTAGATAGCCAGAATACAGTCAATTGTGATAGTAACAGACCCAATTCATATAACGAGTCTTTCCTCGTGTTTGAACCCACCTCTATTAGTTCAATTGCTTTGGTATACTGAAGCTTAAATGCAATGAGAACAACATTTTGGCACCGTTGTCAGGGAAATTATAACAATATGAAATATTAGAAATTGATTGTATGAGAAGAATGAAAGATTATGAATGATAATCATGAAAGGGAGGATTATCAAAGAATTAATCGACAAGCAAAAGAAAGATAGGAGTGATTACGCATAAGAAATATCTTACGGGAATGACAAAAAGAAATTGTAGGTCTAAGTAAAACCAAAGGAAGAAAAATTCAAATTCAAATAGTAAAGAGACTAGTGATAACACCAATGGCCGCGGGAGTTCCAAAAGTACCAATTGCAATACAAATGGGAGCAATAGGAGATCGAACTATAAGTGTAGCATCATATCACAGACATACTCATGTAAGCTAGTAATTATATATACAAGTAGGTAAAAGTAAGTTAATTCTATAGTATTTAATATGGAAGCTTCCTAAAAGCTTCATAGACGCTGCTTTGACTTCATAGGTGTCTTTAATTGACTTTTTGGATTAGAAACATGGTCAACAAGTTGGCCATGTGCCACACATGTTGTTAGCTTGAAGATCAAGCTAACTATGTAGCCCACACATAGAAAAACTCACCTTGTAAGTCAAAGCATGTGTCTTACAAAGTCAACATATATTGGAAGTCTTATAGAACGTCACCACATAGCCTCTAATTAGATAGTATATATAGAGACAAGAGTGAAGCCTTCTTCACTCTTGTCAACTCCTTTCTTGCTTCTAGTCTAGTTTCAAGGGTCTCTAGTTTTCTTGTCTTTTGGCAATAGCCATTCCAATTTCTCTTTCAATATACATACTTGTTTATTTATATTTTGTTACCTTTCTTTGAATGAAGGCTCACTTGTCTGAATTACTTTTTCATCAAGTTCTTGTCCTTAATACATCATTACTTACTTTTAGTGGTTGGTCGGGCTTTGATCTCGTTCATCATATATCTCAATTCTTGACAGCCTATATGGCTAATAATGGTAGAACTGAAGACATTTGGTTGAGATGATTGCCAGCAATTTAAAAAGATACAGCTTTTGAATGGTATATTCGACAACCACTGGGTAGATTTTCCAATTGGGAGGCCTTAAGGAACGCCTTCCTAACCCATTTTAGACCAATTGGATTTGAAGATCGGCTTCGAGAAAGTTTTATGAATAGTAGGATGTTTGCGGGAGAATCCGTAGAAACCTATTATGGCTGGATCACAGATATACTTTGTAAATGGTCAAATAATCAAATGCTAGATGCATTTATATTGTTGATATTAATTAACGGTTTGCATCCACTAGAATTAAAAATGTTTGTAAAAGAGGCTCGATCAGCTATGGTAGAGACATCGTTGGCATAAACAAAGGTGTGGAAAGAATGTTATTATGACCAATTGTTAACAGTGGGGGCCACGATGATTCCAAGTTCAGGAAGCCAACAAATACAACTGGAAAATGTGTCGATGGGTAATTATCCACAAATGGCTGCCTCCAATGTTAAGAATGTTATGTTGCAACAACCAATTAATGCTACACCACTCCAAGCAATAGCGCCAATAATGATGACATCTTATTTTACATCGCCAACCTATCAACAATCAGAGTTGTTCACAAATGCGATTGTTAAAGATCCAAATGAAGCCTTGTTATTAAATCTAACAAAGAAGATGGAAGAATTGGCCGTGAATTTGGCTAAAGATAAAGAGAAATGACATAAGCCTTCTAATACGAGACCTAATGTATGGTGTAATAATTATAAGGGACAAGGTCATTTTGATACGAAATGTCCATCACACAGACAAACGGGTGTTCAATGTACATTTTACGGAAGAAAGGACCCTACCCAAAATTATTGACATTTACAAAGGCAACGATAATTCAGTAATCAGACCATGATCTCACTAACTCAATGGACAGTCAATAAAGTTCAAACGAGAAATATGCATGGATGGAATGGAAATCGATTTAATCGATAAAATTGAACATTGAATAATTTTTAAAGTTCTAATTTTAATCAAGGATTTGCATTAAACCCCTAGAACTATGGGAAGGTGCAGTAGAGGTATCAACAATATGCTCCACCGACGTCATTGAACCAAGTACCCTCCGTACAAACGGGACAACCAGTATCATTTTTTAACTCTACATGGAACAAGCCTAGTAGGTATATACCAGTGGAGACAACTAATATGCCAGATGGGGGTACAAGAAGACCACTTTGTTGTTTCTGTTGCAGACAAATTAGTCATTATGCTAGTGAATGTCCCAATCCTAGAGCAAGTGACAATTATGCCCCAGTATGTGTAAATTGAAAGCAATCGGGACATACTTATGAGCAATATAATGCTCCGTTCAATTTCAATGATCGATATTAGCAGATCCAAAGCCAAGGAAAAATGGAGGAGATAAATCAAGGTCCTCAAGATTTACCAGTTCATCGGGTAGAAGTAGTCCAAGCTGTCCTTACAAGAAGTCAGTAAAAGAGAAAATGATCAATTCAATATTTGGGTGATCCTGAAGCGAAGGACCAATTGGACCCAATTATGGGGACATCCAATCCACGTCCTGACATGGGCCCTTTACTCAGTATAAA